CCGGGGAGCCTCTTCCCTCCGGGGCGTGCGGAGCCTCCTCTCAGCTAAAAACTTCAGTCCCGCGGAGACTTCTGCAAAGTTCCGGGAAGCGCGGGGGGAAAATACGGGATATCTTATTGGCTTCGGGTTGCTTTTTGATTGTGTAACTCTGCCAGCTAAAAGGAGTGTTTTCTGGGCGATGAGGCTTTTCGTTGTCGCCTGCCTTTTTTATGTCTTGTGGCTTGATTTATCCGCAGTTCCCGTCTCGGCGACGTTTAAACGTAAAAGAGTCTCAGGGGCTAAAAATACCCCTTCAAAATAGGTGCGCTTATAGATAGATGACTTTGCATTTGGTTCTGAAAGTGGTCGGATGTGTCTGATAAGATTAATAGATAATCAAGTCAGAAGGACTGGTGTAATCATCTAGTGTGACCTCTTCATAATGCAGGCCATAGGACTTATTTTCCCTCCCAATCTGTGTTTGAAACTAGAGTTTACGTTTCAGAAGGTGCAGTTGAAAATTTCCAGTGAGGCAAAATTCAGCACAATTGTTGGTAAAGTATACAAATATACTGATTTGTATTTTATTTCTGATTTCTGATCTGAAGAGGGCTACCTCTAGTTTCTGGCCACTGAATCTTACAGCCCATTGATACTGAAAATCCCATTAAATATCATATTTTCTTGACTATGAATTCTTATGAATTTTGCTTAACTTCTTGCTTTACTTACTTTTCTTAAGAACATGAACATAATCTTTTGAAGTTTGTTACCAGATATTTTTAATTTTTTTTTTTTTGCTACTTTAGTTATTCTCCCAGTTTTCTCTTAGATTCCCTCCAATTTATTGTCACCCTTCCTGAATTGTGGACACTGCATTTGAGAAAGCAATTAAGTCAATAATGGTAAATAAGAAGATCATAGGACCTCCCTGAGGTGTGAGACTCTAGTTTCCCTATTTCCCATAGAATTGCAAGGATGGGTGGTTTTTTGGACAAACCCTTGCCCCATGAAGCTGCTTAGCCAGGTTCTCTGCAGAACTGACTACCTGGCAAAGTAAGGTCTCCTATCATCCTTTCCAATTTTTCTTCTTAGTTGTTAACTGCTTTTGATCATGTCACTCACTTCCACCAAAACCAACACAGCAGCATGTCCTGTCTATGGTGCTTTTGTCAGTTCTCATCATCTGTTGAGGATCATGCCATCTATTCCAGGAGGGAGGTTTGAATTTTCCAGGTCATTTAAGAATATGTGGTGCAGAAGCAAAAGTGGATTTCTGAGGGATCTTAGAAGAAATGCGACTGCTTGATGATTTTTTTTCTATATTTAAAAAAAAAAATACCCTGGTTTTAAAACATAACCTTAATCTTTTTAATAACTGCTATATTAATGCAGTTCAAATTGCATATTTTGGGAATTCCTTAATTGAAATGTCATGGAGAAAAGTCCCAAGACAACTACCGTGCCGAAGCTCACTGGATCAATGCCTGCTACCTATACCAATCAAATTAGTATTACTGCATCCATCTATGATCTGACAATATTTATGCTATGCTTCAGGAAACAATGTCAAGAAGACCTTGCTTTAGTTCTTTAAAGTTTCATCTCAAGGCTTTGTACGTGGTGATGAATGATGCATTTATAATGTGTTGACTGAAACATTCAAACTTTTTTATCTGTAGCAAGAAGAGGGAAAACACTATGAATCATATTTTGTGCTTGAAGTTCTCCTGAACTGGGTTCTTGGAGCTCATGTCATTTTAATAAGAAATAATTTACCCTGTTGGACACAGTGTTAAGTAGAGTCTGGGCTTGCAGAGGTGTTTGGGTTCCTCTGTAGCATTTGTCTTTGTATGGCTGGAGCCAGTTGCTGGGGGATTGGGATGTAAGAGTGATTCCTGTCACTGCCAAGGCTTGCACCAGCCTGGAAGGAAATTGTGAAGGTGCAGATGTACTGTAAGGGAATATGCTGTCCATGTTCTTGCCTTGTGTTACAGATCACTTCACATTTTTCAAAATGGTGTTTCTGATTGTGGCTGACAGGTAGTCACCTAAACAGCTGAAGCTGCATTAGCCTGATGTTAAATTAAAAAATGTGTGTCATGTTCATCTGGTACTTGCTGGAAAAGAATTCAGCCTTTAGGTGATATAGATAACAATATTTCATTCAAATTTCATTTCATATTTATGCTGTTGCAGGCTGTGTCGTGGCAGGCCATGTTCCCTTTGTGTGGAGAGCCATGTTCACAGTCTCAGCTCACCAGAATGATTTCTCCTCCCTACAAGCGTTGCTCCTGTCTTCCTGCGCTTCACTTCAGCCATCTGGTTTTTATCCTGCTCCTTATTTCTTGCAGGCACTGTTTTGTCTGTGCAATGGCACTATTCTTATCAACTGAAAGGAAATGTGTGGTGAAGTGTTATAAGGACATTGCTACCAGGCCTGCTGTGACATAACCGTTCCCATGGAACAGGAGAAGATGGTGAACTGGGGATGGAAGCTGGTGGAAATCACCTGAATCACTGTGTTAACTGAGCAGAGATCGTTCCTGCTGAGGAGCATTTTGGGACAGTGCAGCCACACAGCCCCATAGCAGGGGGCTAAGGGGATGCTCCTGCCCACTGCTTTCCCCTTCCCCCCCAGCTCTTACACAGGCTGTCAGCATCCTCAAGGAATTTGTGATGGTTTGATGGGCACACTGCCACTCTGACCTTTTACTGTAGCTGCTAGAAAACCTTACTTCTGTACTGAAACTGTCCTTTTGTGGCACAGCCTAAAGCTATTGAATAGCAGAGAAGGTATGTGCTTACTGGTTATTTGCTAGAGAAAAACATGGTATTCAGAAAACAGGTGAATGTGTAATAGTTTGAGAGACTCATAATTGCTTGGAAAGAGAAATAGGAACAGGTGGTAATGGATGAGGTTTCTGGTTTAGTTTATGTCTGACTTGAGGTTTTATTCAGAGAAGGATTTTTAGGAGTGGAGGGATCTCACGGTTCTTGTTTGGTTTTTCCCACAGCTCTAAGACTCAAATCTTCTGCTATGTGTGATTAAAAGTCAGTCACAATTATTTTGTTGGTGTTGTAAATTTTATGGTGACTGCCACGGTCTTTGTTTCTTTATGCCCAGTAGTCTTCTGTCCATTTCTGCCCTACCCAAACACATGGGGTTTTATATGGCTTAATTCAAGATGGTTCTTTGCAATAGATAACACTGGCATTTGGTTAGTGTGGTCTGTGTTCATAACAGCCAATCTAAGAAAGTGAGTTAGTTACAGTGAGAGTTCATATGCAAAGTTACATAGGTAGGGGACCAATACTTCTGTTATAAATGGTTATGATGGGTTTTTTAACTCAGTTTTGCATAGCTGTCAAACTAATGCTTATTGTAACAGCTGTATGATAATTGTGATTTAGTCAAGGCTCAATTTTAAATTCTAATGGATTTTTGCACAGCTATAGAAACTCTGAAAGT